GTTTACGTGAAGATGTCTGCTGTGATTCTGATGGGCTTTCCTTTGTATGTGATTTGTTTCTTTTCTCTCACTGCTTGTAGAATTTTGTTGTTCTGTTTGTTTTCTGGAATCTTAACTATTGTATGCTTACATATAGATTTTTTTTTATCAAGGTTAGTTGAAGTCCTATATGCCTCACTTATCTGTATGTCAAGTTATTTTCCTCTACTTGGGAAGTATTCTGCCATCACTTCTGTGAAGAGTTTTTTTTACGTCGTCTGCACGCTGTCCTGTTTCTTCATTGACTCCAATCAGTTTTATGTTATTCTTCTTTGCATCACCTAGTAGCTGCTGGATTGATTTCTTTTGGTCCCTTACTATTTTGAAGAAATTTTTGTTTTCATGGTCACTAATTACAATCTTATCTTCTATATCTGAGATTCTGTCCTCACGTTGGCACATTCTGCTGCGTAAATTTTCAATGAAATTTTTAATATCCCAGAAATCTGTTTGCATCTCTTTTATGGATTTCATTTGTTTCCTATGTTAGGATTCCATCATGTTCCTTAGCTGCTCTATTTTTCTATGTGTCCTCTCTAGATTTATTAATCTTGTCTTGCTCTATGAGCACAATCTCTGCTGTTATGTGAGAAATTATTTCTGATTTCATTTTTTCCAGATCCTCTTTCGTTGCCAGTCCAGGGAGACCAGGTTGTTCAGTATCAGATTGTTCTTTCTTACTTCACATTGGGTTTTCTTTAGGTGATCTGCAAGTCTGGTTTTGAGACTGGTTTACGTGTGTTCTCATTTCAGTGGCATTGGAGGGGATGTGTGCTGCTGGTGCCTGCACAGCTCATCTCCTTGGCTCTAAGGGCGGTGGACTGGTGGCCCGGAAGGTTCACTTCCTCTGCGCTGGTGGCAGCTTTGTTCTTCGGCCCTGGGGGTGGTGGTATGGAGGCCCAGAAGGTTCACCTCCTCTGTGCTTGGGGCAGCTCTATTCCTTGGTGCTGGGGCTCTATGAATTCTCGTCTCTGACTCACAAACAAAGGGCACGTGGCTTCTTCCTTCCCAGCACGTGTTCTGCCTCACTGAGGAAATGGTATTGTTAAATTTGATAACTTTCTTTTTAATTTGATAGGTGAGATTTACTTCTCTGGGATTGGGATCAGCACTGACTATGCTTGAAGCTGGCTGTGTGGCGTTGGCAAACAGTTGTCAGAACATTTCCGGTGGGCTCTGGGGAACTGTTGTGAACATTCTGCTGGACCAGTCGGAATGTAGCATGGTGCGCCGGGAGGTATGCCTTTTCAACATTTTCTCCCTTTTTTTCCTTGCATGTTCATTGTGACAGTGTCTACAAATTGTATTCAACCTACTGTTCAGTGGGGTAGACTGACTGTGGATTATTATCCATCCTGCTTGTGAAAAAAAACAAATAAAATGACAATGAAAGGTATTGATCACTAAAAATTGGGAGTCTTTTATTCTGATAAGATCAAAGCAAAATGCAGTATAATTTTAATGTGAACTCTTGTTTTATTACACACTGAAAAGTAGTTTACAGAAAAAAAATTACTTCCTCTTAAGTGTATGTAGGTCTGTAATGTTTAGACAGTTTTAATAGAAATAAAGCGTTGTCTAAATGATACCTTTTTGAAGTATATGTCTTACAACATGAGAGGAAAATTAAACCCTAATTTAATTTGTGATTTTGTTTGTATAGCTTCCTCTGTTAAGGTAATGATTCATACCTATAGTTTTAAAACAATAATTAAATAGTTCTTAGAGGCTTATGAAGAAAATATTAGCTCCTGGGTCCACCATTAACTAATTTCTTATTCCCAACTCAAAAAATGTGTTTTCTTGTTAGTTGCTTTCATGCTTGTAAATGGTAATGCTTATGCTTAGGGCTTTTTCTTCATTTATTATCTTTAAAGATTTTTTTTTTTACTTCCAGTGAAGATAGTTGGAAAATTCTCTCCTTAGGATTCCCCTAATATTCCTTTTACTCTTCCTGTATTATTACATAATAATCTTCCATTAAGTAGATAATAGTGTTTATTATTAGTGTTACTTAATTTGAATAACTTTAGGTCCTCATAGGTTAAGTTGGACATTTGCGATTTATATTTTTGTACCAAGTTTTTCTGAGAGGAGTTTAAATGAGAGAAGAAGACAGTAGAGAAAGGTAGGTGTGTGTATATGTGTGGGTGAGTTGTAGATATATATAAATCTGGAAGGGGACACTATGAATGTATATTTCTTAAATGCTATCAGAACAGTTTATATTTCACAAATCATTTTTTGGCATAAAGCTAAATTCTGAGAGAAAAATAATATTTTCTGATGAACTAATTTCATACACTGTTTGGCCATCACCTAACAAAGTTACCTCTGAGTAGGAAATACAGTTCAGTAATACTCATAAGGATCTGAGCATGTGCATTGACCAGATGATATCATTACTAAATTGCAGTATATTGGTTATTTCAGAAATGACAGCAAGATGGCAGTATTAACATCTTTTTTGTTTTAATTTTCAGGCTGCATTTATTCTTCAGAATCTCCTTGTAATTCCAATGCCTACAGAAATTATGAAGGATTTTACTTGGCAGGTGGGCAGTTTTAAACAATTACCATCCTCATAGATGTTTGACATTAGTGATAAATTTTCAGCATATGTATGTAGTTGGCACTCTGCATTCATGGGTACAGCATGCAGATATTCAACCAACCAGGGACCAAAAGTATTTGAGAAAAGGAAAAATTGTATCTGTGTTGAACAGATACAAACTATTTCTTTTTTTGTGAGTTTGTGTTTTTAGTACATAATGTTTACATTCCTTGTGTGGAGTTGTTACATGTACATAACACATCTTAATTCCTTTTCTCCTCCCATTTTCTTCCCCTCCCTCCATCTCTTGATTCCTTAACATTTGAGAAAGATCTAGCTTTCTTCTTATTATCTATCTTTTATTTTTCTCTTTTTTGTGTTTTGTTCTCATACACAAGAAACCACGAGATATTTAAGCTTGTGTGTCTGATTGACTTCACTTAACATTATGATCTTGGGTGTATACATTTTCCTACAGATGACTGAAGTTCATCTTTTATTATTGCAGAGTAGTACTGTTTTCTTTATTTTCTTTCTTTCTTTCTTTCTTTTTTGGTTTTTTTGAGGCAGGGTCTCCCTTTGTAGTCCAGGTTGGCCCTGAACTCACTATATAGCCCAGGCTGGCCTCGAACTCACAGTGGTCCTCCTGCCTCAGACTCCCGAGTGCTGGGACTACAGGCGTGTGCCACCACACCCGGCTATTTTCTTATTCTCAAGACAGTACAGTATAACAGCTGTTTACATAGCATTTACATTGTATCAGGTATTTTATAAGTAATCTAGGAATTATTTAAAGTATATGACAGGGTGTGCATAGATTATATGCAAATATCATGCTATTTTATATAAGGAACTTGAGTATCTGTGGAGTTTGGTATCTGTGGGAGTCTTAAGAACCAATATCCCATGTATATCAAGGAAGGGCAATATTACATTACTGATGAAACTGTACATAGAGTAGCAAGGATCTCTAAAATTAGAATATAGACATTTTCTTAAGCTTGTTCATGTTTGAAAATTCTTTTCCAGAGTGTTAAAATAATTTAAAAAATAATAATAGCCAACATAGGCATATTTGTGGAAACTGAACTCATACTGACTTATATAATTTAGTTGTAAACTGCTATGTTCATTTTATGGACTTAGACACTTAGCACAATAATGTCTTGCCCTAAATCACACAGCTATTCAGTGGCAAACTATCCTTTGAATACAGGCACTCTTTGTTACTTCACTAAATTGCCTTTCTAATAATAATAATGATAAATAAATTGTATACAGTTAAATATGGGTTAATATTAACATCTTTCTTTTTCTGAGTTAATACATGTGGGGGTTGTAACTTTTTTGATTTTTGTTAGATTAATTTTTTGTTTCATATTCTGAATATCAAGTAGTAAATGGTTAACTAAGATTTTTATACATTTTACCTTTATTGTAGAGGTAAGTGTAATCTTAATCCTTTTACTTATCCATGTATTCGCATCCTGTAAGTATATATTTATTACATCATTCCATACTCCCCAGGATTCATGACAAATTTAACATTTAATTTTAAGATTTCATTAGATATACTCTTAGTATATGTGCTGCCGAAGCGAGCACTATTAGATATACTCTTAGAGGGTGTATCTGAATCAAACTGAGCTAGGGGACAGATTTTGGGTACCAGCTGAAGATCCAGGTGATTGTCAAGGCTCCTATTCATTTATCTCTTGAAATGTTCAATTCTGCAATCCTTACAAACTCAGGTTAACTCTCTTCCTGTTGTAAATCCCAGGTCACTTTTCCACTGGTTCCTAGCAATTTCTTTAATATTGCTTTCAGATCATGGTTGCTTATCCACATCTACCTCTTATACAAACTTAAAGGAATATACAGAAGTAGTATTTATTTTAACAGAAAGGAAACACTTGTAAAGCAGGAGCCAAGGAGAGAGTGGTTGCTGGGTGCCAAAGGAAACTGCTCAGATATGCTCTTTCTCTACTCCTCTTTGTTAGCACTCTACTTCCAACGTGTTTCTTTATCAGTGGAAAAGTAGCTGGGAAGTTATATGAAAATTAAGGATTTATTTTTAATTTTATTTACTTAAGTACAAGAGAGTAAGCTGATGATCTGTATGTATACCTTAATGAATCAGTAAACACTAACGGAGCACCTATCTTCTCTGTAATGGGACTTGGGAGAACCAGTTTTAAAAATATAAAACTATGGCTTTAACCTTCAGAAACATTCTACTTATGATTAATTTAATGATAAGAAATAAGGCAAGAAAGAAGAGGTAATATTTGGAAAAGAACCTAATTTAATGGTAAAGATATTAAATGCTAGTATGTTTCAGAGAAGACTGAAATGGTTCTAGTGGTTACTGAATGTTATTTTCTTAAAAATACTTAAAATTTAAAAATCAGTTTTAATTACTTAGCACTCACCTTATTCCAGTAAAGATTCATGGTCTATTATAAGGAAAGGTAAATTTCAATATTATAGTAAAAGTATAGTAGAAATGAGAGAAAGAAAAGAAAAGATATAAAAGAAGTAGAACCAAAAATAAAACTTGAGAAAATATGTACTAGAACCATATTTTGTAAAAGGGCTTTCAACATTCTAGCTTTCAACAGCAAAAGGGAAAAGCAAGTAATTCATAATTATAAATGCATTTTATTGCCACTTAGTACAATTCCAGATAGTGACGTGGAACAGGAATTTATACTGAGTGTGTGAGGAAAAGAGTAGAGAGGTGTAGTAACCATATAGGGAATGCTGCAGAGAGCTCAGTGGAACAGCAGTACTAGAGGGCATAAATTTAGACTACAGAAATTAGCCAGCAAAATAAACAAAAGTAAAGGTAATTTTCTTTGTTAAAAAAATACATATATACTTCATCCACACTATTCCATGCTGTGTCTTCCAGAATGCTGTGAAAGGTATACCAGGTAAATAAAGCACTTTGTTGAATGAAATACTGTTTTGCTAATGACTTTTTAAATTTTATAACACTGGATATACAACTGTCTCCTTATCTTGTATAGTTTATTTTCTTAGTCATTTTAAGCTTTATTTTTTTGGTAGGGATTATTGTTTTGTTCAATTGAATTAGCTTAGATTTTCTTTCTTACAAATTCTTATCTTCATTTTCTAAATCTGTTTTTCTTTTCGTATTAGGAAGAAAATGAAAAAAGGAATCTTAAAAATATACTAATTGAAAATTAAATGATTTAGTCTATAAAAATTGTGATAATTTTACAATTTAGAAAATCACTACAAGAATTCTAATATACTAAATGCACTCTTCACTTACTTTGAAAATACTTATATCAAAAAAGTTGGATTTTAGAAGATGGTAGCTTTGTAACCCCTCTCTTCCTAAGATGTAATTAGTACCATCAACCTCAGTAGGCCTTTAACAGGATACTCAGAAGATATAAGATGTCTTGAAGATATCAGATGTCTTGAACTGTAAATACTAAAGTTGTTTTCTGTTCAAGATTTATAGTTTATGTACCTTTACCTATTTTTATTAAATCTTTCTGAATATAGGAGTTCTACTGATGGAAGAAGTGATTATATAGACACAATTTTCCAAAATAATAAAATTGGAATGATTTTGTACAATATGTAAAATAAAAAATGTTAAAATTGTTTTGGTCATCATTTGAAATGTATTTAGAAAAAATAGTTTTTGTACCACTTTAATATAATGTTTTGTTGATTTACTGAGTTGTTAGGTAGTTGGAGTTAAGCTAGTAAACTTAGCTAAACTTTTTATGTTTTATATTTTTTTTTAGAAAAGTACTTGATCACTGAGCTACACACCTTGCCCCACTTTAAAAAACTATAGCTCTCACTTTGGTTATTAATTTTTTCCCTGAATTATTATAATGAGGCTTTATTATGCAATGTTGTGGCACTATTGCCTGTCTCTTTTGTGTTTGACGTTTTTTACATTGAAGAATATTTTAACTTGCTTAAAAGATAAAAAACATTTTGCAGCTATGAATGTTAAGTCTGACTTGTTTTTGCATGAGATAAAGTAAGATAAAGTAAGGCATAAAAAATAAAGTAAAGTAAAGTAAGGTAAAGTAAGGTAAAGTAAGGCATAAAAGGAACACATTGCTATTGGTTCATAGGCAGGAGGCTTAAGACCTTACTCTCTTTGTATTCTTGTCTGTTGTGCTTGCATCTTGTAGACTTCAAAATTTAAATTAACAATGACTATCACATGCTAACTTTTCATTAGTCTTACTTATATTCCTAAATAGAGTCTTGCTATATTTATGAAGATTAAACTCACAGTGCTGGATAGATTTATTACACATATAATAACTTCTTAAATCATAAAAGGAATTTAGTATTGAAGTTAAGAGATTTGTTAAAATAATATTCTTAAAGAGAACTGTTAGTAGAAATTGCTACTGTTGTTAGTAGGTATTGTTAATATTGTTAATGAAGTTATATCTTTAACTTGTGAATTACTTCACCTGTCTAAAGAGTAGGTTTTAGTGTCCATCTCCCATAGTGATGTGTGAAGGGTAATAGAAAACATACATAAACAAATTTTATGTTTAAAAGTAAACTTTGAATATGATTTGACCTTATCTTCCTTTCCTGTTGTCATTTAGATTTTTATTTTTCACTTTCTCTGTGGTATATTTAAAAAATCAGAACTTTATTATCATATATTAATAATCAATTATGAGATTTATTGTGAACTTTAAACCAATCCTAATTGATTGGTTTTTACCTTTGGATATTTCAGGAAAATTATTGAAATAATTTATTTCAATTGAAATAATAATGCCAATGCAAAAAACTATTGGAAAAATTATGTGAAGAGATAAAATTGTGTAATAGTAGATTCTTCTCAGTCTTTTGGTAGCAGATGTATATGTTTTTGGTAGCAGATGTACTTCTTTTTCCTTTTCCTTAATTCTTTGGGAAATAACATGGTAGACAGATTTTGTAGTGGACATTGATAGGTGTAAAAATATTTTTGAATGTAATTACTTGGCCCACATTATTTCAGATTTTTAGTAATTATTTTACTATTGTATGTAGGTAGAAGAATACTGCTTTCATTGTGTTTGTGGCTATAGTATGTAATTAATTGATTAAAGCTATCATTATATAGAAATAGTTTAAATTCAATTGCCCCTCAAGAATTAGAGTAGATCTGAGGGTAGCTTTAAGGATCAGAGACCTAGATATTATGAAGTGCTTTGCTCTAGATTAGGCTACAGTAACTGGGTGGAATGTGATAGGATGTGGAACTTAACTTGTTTTATATAGAGAGTACAGTGGATCTTTTTTGAAGAAATTATGGCATATATCAGTGCCTTTCTCTTCTCTCCATCTTTTCCTAGGGCCCCTGTGTCCATGATGAGGATTCTGGCCTATCACTGATAGGAAAACCTGCTCTCCAGGCTCTTTTATACCACTGTCATTTTTATGATCATTTGAATCAGATGGTGAAATGTTGTTACCTGGGACGGTATATGTTTGATTTAAGGTTTTCTGCTTTTAATGCAACTTCAGAAGCTAATGATTTAAATGGTAAGTACAGTATCTTTTTCTTTTTATAAAATGTAGCTTTTTAAAAGATGTAAGAAAACCGTGTTTATTAAAAGACATTTGGAGAATAAGAATAACAAAACTACATAGGAAAAATACTCATCTTGAGTCCTGCTCCCCCGAGAGTACCCCTTTTATGTTAGAGTATATTTTCTTCCAGTGTTCTTCTCTTCGTAGGCTTAGTTTTATATAGTTGTGCTAATTTTTTACATGCATTTTTGTGTTTTCTTCTTTCACTAAGGATTGTGTAAGCATTATTTGTGTCATAAATTCTTTATGGAAGCCATTTTGACATCTTACTATTGTTTCATATTGTTTTATGCCATTTGGTAAAGTTTTCTGTTTTTCCCGTATTAATATCTTAAACTTTTTTTGAATCTTCATTTCTTGACAATTTATATTTTTCCACTGTTCTTATGAAAGACACCTTTTATTACCTACTTATTTTATTATTCATCAAAATACATTGATGAAAACATTTTACTTTTTTTGTTGAGAGATTCTCCTGGATTTGCTAATGTTAACTAATACTACTAATTGCTAGTTATTAATGTTAATCAGTATCACTGATGTTTATACACACAAGTAATATACTTCATAATAAAAGTAGTTTATATTTTAAGCTCATTTTTTACCTAATTAATTCACACGAAACATTTTCAAACGTAAAGAAAAACTTCAATAGTACAAAAAACTGAATGGCAAATATTTCATTCTGTATGTGATTTTTGAGTGTAAAACACAAAGTTAGGAAAGAAAACCAATATCTAGAAAGGATATTTTTATTTGTGTATGACTAACTTACAAGTTATAAATATAATAGTTTTTAAATTGAAAAAAAAAAAACCTTTAATGCTTATAGGGAAAAAAAAGTACAAAAACATCCCAAATGTTAACGTTTTATTTACTTTCCTTCATCTGTGAACACAAATAAAATTTGTTTATATGCATGTAGATAGCATTACACACACACACACACACACACACACATACACACACACACACACACTCTTTCTGTGTCATTTAGGAGTAAGTGGCGGCCATGAAATTCCTTTACCCCGAAATACCTAAGGGTAAATTTATAATTCTCTGTACCGTTCTGTTCACTAGGAAATTTGAGAGGAAAGTGACATTTGATAAAAGTTTTGAACATTATAAATAATGTCCCTATTTCATAGTGATTTATTTGCTTGGAGTTCTCTGAAATATTGTTACTGAAAGTATGAACTAACTTCCTTGGCATCTTCTGTGAGATTGTTAGAAATGTGCATTCACTGCCCCTACTCTGACTGAGGGTGTTAGAATTTCTGGGACTAGGTCTTAGGATTCTGTCAGCTTTAGCAACTCTCAGTGATACTTGAGTGCATTAACAAGTTTCTTTCCTTAGTTTTTAGTTGGTTTCCTGCAATTAGTATTCTTTCCATTAATTGCTCAGTACCCAGAAATGTGTCCAGGTTAACAGCTTTCTTCTTGTCCCAGGTTTAGATGACTCATTCAAGTTTTGGAGGGCTCCATCTAGGATATCCAACCAAGATCAGGATCCAAGTTCTCTCTCCACCTCAGAAACAAGGGTACGTACAAAAAGTGCATGAGTGCTTTATTTTGAATCTCTAAAACAATTTGAATTTGCATAATAGAGAGATAACCATGGATATAAAGTTGTGATTATAATAGCTATGATATGTAAAAGTGTTTTCTGTGCTCTGCAATTACTTAATTTATTATAACATAACCTATTCATCAGCTATACAAAGTAGATACTTTTTGCTTTTCCATATGAGAAAGTCATTCAGAAGTTAAGTAACTGTGATCATTGTGGCTTGAAAGTAGCAGAGTTGGAATTTCAGCCAAGGTTTACCTGACTGTGGTTATAGCTATACTGATTATCCTTTCTATTGAGAGTTCTCAACCCCTTTCCTATTTCTTTTGATACAACCAGAATACAAATAAGTGTCAAAATGTTTATCATTAGTAGTAGAGGAGAACAAATCCTATGATTAAAAATATTTGATTTTCCTGAAATTTTACTTAAGGACAAGGCAACATGAGAAAATTTACTCATTCAAATGATTCCAGTGTGATACTGATGATTTTAAAAACATTGTTAAATGCTTGCATCAGATAAGAACTTCTCTTAATTATCTGAATACCTAATTTATTTATGCCTGCTTGCCTGCCCTCCTCTTTAAAACATATGTAAGTTGCTTTGCTTCTAGTAATTGATACTGTATTTCAGCTTTGTCCAAGTGTAAAGAAATAATTTCTTCTCAATTATGAAACATTTAATTTTAAAGTGTTTTTAGCATACAGACTTTGTTGTAGAACCTAGTAGACAAAGATTGCTATCTGTCCTTTTAGGAGTAAAAATAGTATGAAAATAAATTATTATACAGACATTAATAAAATTTCCTCCTAAAATTTCTCAAAAGACTGATAACTTTTTTTTGCTACAATTTTAAGTGTTTTTTTATTGATACAGTCAAAAATGAAGAGCTCGTATTTAGTGCTAAATTGGACCTTTATGTAGAAAAGTAATATAACTGCTCTACTTCCACTAGATGTCATGCTTTCCTTTCCAAGCAAGAGAGAGTATGTATCTTTGTTTCAGCAAGAGCAATAATACGATTAAAAGTCAAAATGAATTCTGTTAATTGGTTATTTAGTTCACAGAAGGAAGGCATCAATACATACTTGAAAGTACATCTTTTTAGCCAAATGTATGGCACATCCTTGTAATTTTGCACTCTTAGGAAGCTGAGGGTCTAAAGTTTGAACACAACTTGGACAACTTAGTGATTTATTGAGGCCCTATCTCAAAGTAACGAATTTAAAAAGGTCTGGGGATGTGTCTCAGTGCAAAGACCATGAGTTCAATCCATAAGACCTCAATTCAATAAAAAAAGTAAATTTTTTCAAGTTTCTTTATTGTTAAAAGGGTTCTAGAGTAGTCTAGAGATCTTTGTGCATTCTTAAGTTCTTTGCTTATTGTAGGTACCCCGTAAATAGTAATTAATTAACTTTGAGTTATCTTAGTTATTTTGTAGATACTATTTAAGCTGTATTTATCCTATACTAGACTTAAGTTTAAGAAAAATGAAATCAGTTTTCATTTATTTATTTTATATCAACATATAAATCTTGAAAGTTAGAATATTAGATTTTTCTGATAATAACTTTGAAAATATGTTGTTATGGTCACTTAAAGTAGAAGTATTTTGAGGGGAATTAATAGCAGTGTATTTTATACTATAATACATTTTAAAAATTTTAAATGTTCACAGTTTATTTCAGTTACCACTAGTATCACAGCAGTAGCATGTGGCAGAGGAAGCCTGTACACCTCAAGGCAGCTGGGAAAGGAAAGAGATAAGAAGGGCCTAGGTTTGCAGTATCCCTTCATGGGCATACCCCTGATGGTCTAGCTTCTTTACACTAGGCTGGAGCTCCTGAAGGTTCTGCTACCTCCCAGTAGTGCCTGATCTAGAGACCAAGCTTTCAATATGTGGGCCATTTGGGGACATTTAAATTCTAAATTATAACAAACTATCTTAAGTAAAAGTCTTTAACCTGTTTATGTTTGAATGTTACATAGAATTTTTAAAGTATATACCAATGAAATTTAAGTTAAAAAAAACCCTTTGATATATAGTCCTATGAAACATTTATTTCTCTTGTTTTTGGGAGAACTAGTATCTTGTTCAAATTTTTACAACTTTTTTTAAATTGCAAACAGCAGTTTGGAACTGGGGACTTTTATTCACAAACACAGTCTAATTACCCAAATTCTCCTTACTGTCATGGCTTCTTCAACATGCCTAAGATACTGTTTATCTTTGTCCCCAAAGGAGAAAAATCTGGAGAGTTTATTATGTTAATAAAACTTACTTTAGTTTATCTAAAGTCTAAACCAAAGCCATTGTACTTAGATCACCTATTACTTTCTCTAGTATAAGAAAATGTTAAAGTTACAAATTGATGTATGAACTGAACGGATTTAAATCTTACTAATCTGCTTATCTGGTTATTTATATCTTTATCCTACAGAATTGAAGAAGATACAGTTTGGTTTTTTTGGTTGGCGTGTCTTTCCACTGTGTCTTTCTAAGGAAAGCATTATCTTTTGGTTTTGGTCATATCAAAGCACTTGCTATTGGTAGGCCATTATCCATTTTATGCTGTTAATTCCACTTTAGGAACTTTAATAGTTTTGTGTAATGAATATTCATTCAGTTGCTTGGCACACTTTGTAAGGATTGGGACCTGTATATCTTTTGTTTAGTTTTTGTTTTTGTTTTTGTTTTGGTACTGGGGGTGGAACTCAGGACTTTGTGCTTATGAGGCAAGTTCAGTGCCACTGAGCTAAATTCCCGGCCCAGGGACCTGTATATCTTATAAACTACACTAGTGTGAATAAAGTCTCATTGTTATCCTCGGGACATTCATTACCCTTGTAAATACTCCCTCAAAAGGGCCCCTGATCCAACTCAGTCAGGCATTTGGTATTGTTTTTCCTTCTGAAATCACAATTCTACTTTCCCAAAATGGATAGCTGTACCTACCAATGTGTAGCAACAGCTTTATGGCCAATATTTGGACTTTTCTGTTACTCTTGAGCAGAAATATGTTTGTATTTTTAAAATAATGTTTTATCATTTGTCAAGTAGGAAACATGATTTTTTTTTTAGCTTTTCTTTGGGAAATACATGGGACACAAACCTAAAGAAAACTTACTTTAGTTTATTTAAACACTTAAGGAGAAATTTTACTGACCAGTCTTCATTATCTTGAAAAAATCTGAGTCATTCTTGTGATTACTATTTAAAAAAAAAAATAAGGACATGAAGCAATGTCCTACCATCTGCAACTGGTAGGGCATTCTTTTGAATTGGAATCACCATTTGGCTCCCCATATTGGTTACATTCCACTTCAAAGCCAGATGTGATCGATAACATAATATATGTTATAATCAAGGTGCAGTGAGGTTGCACTTGGATAATGAAATAGAAAGTGATTTTGTGTAGGAAGTGGTAATAGAAATGGACTTTGAAAGACTTACTCCTTCCTTTTTATGTTTATGCTACATTTACAAAGGGCTGAGAAGTTAAAATACATATATTCAGTACCCACTAAAGAGTTAAAGTCTAATTCAAAACATAAAGCATAATTAGAAAATAACTGAATACTAAGTTTGTTGCACTGAAAGCACTAAATACTTAGAAAATGCATGGGGTTAGTTGGAGTGCAGTGCCTGAGGAAGGCTGAGTTTGAGTAGAAGAGCATCCAGATCAGGGTTAGTCAAGAAAGCTGATTCATTTTTTGGATTTGAGTTTTAATAATAAGGATATAAAGGTAGTTCAGCACATTGAAATGTTCTGAAATTTTACAGTTGACATTAGAGAAATAATATATTGACACTTTGGGGGCAATTAAAAATTATTTTATAAAATTAATAGTATACCAAGGGCAGTTTAAGCAGAGGCAGATCCAAAAGGCTTTTTAGTAGAACAATAGTTTTGATATAAGCATCAATGGTAGGGCATATTCCTACCTCCAGTGTAGTGACCTCAGGAAAATTTGAGATGCCAATGTAAATGACAGTGAAGAGAGAGAAATAGAATGATGTATTTTAAGTAAATTTCGACTCCTC